CGAGGGAGGGAGGGTGGGAGGGAGGCGAGGGAGGCGAGGGAGGCGAGGGAGGGAGGGAGGCGAGGGAGGGAGGGTGGGAGGGAGGCGAGGGAGGAGGGAGGGAGGGAGGGAGGGAGGATGGGAGGGAGGGAGGCGAGGGAGGGAGGGAGGCGAGGGAGGGTGGGAGGGAGGGTGGGAGGGAGGGAGGGTGGGAGGGAGGCAAGGGAGGGAGGGAGGGAGGCAAGGGAGGGAGGGAGGGTGGGTGGGAGGGAGGGTGGGAGGGTGGGTGGGAGGGTGGGTGGGAGGGAGGGAGGGAGGCGAGGGAGGGTGGGAGGGAGGGTGGGAGGTGAGGGAGGGAGGTGAGGGAGGGAGGGATGACAGTGACGCTGGTTACCGCGACGATGGCGACCACGACTCGCCTGCTGGCCGTTGTCAAAGCTGTGGGCGTCGACGTCCGGGTGGGGTTCGACCGCGCGGCCGCAGTCGCCGGAGAGAGGCCGATGGTGCCAGTGCGGCAACATCCGCCTGGGTCTCCCAGCGCCACCGCCGTCGCCGCCACCGGCACCACCGCCGCCACGACCCACCGCCAATTTTCTAGCGCCAGCTGTGCCGGGCAAATGGCCTCGACGTCCGCCCGCCACCATCACCGTCGCGCTGTGGGGGTGGGGGTGTGGGGGGGTGTGGGGGGGTGTGGGGGGGTGTGGGGGGGGGTGGGGGGAGTGGGGGGTGGAAGAGAAGAAGAAGGGCAAGGAGATGGAGGTTGTTCGGGGTTCAAGGTTCAAACGTGGAAACGCTTGAATGTCGGCCGAAGCTGTCCAGGGCTGAGCTCCAGAAACTATCCCCACCCCCACCTATTCCAATGAGAATTCAAGCCCTGGTTTTCGAAGGGATGAAGCCGGGTTCCCAAGTGTAGCGAGTTGATGGTCTTAGCAGTCACCATAGACTCGCACAGAGACCCGTAGACTCACACAGAGATCCAGACTCACACAGAAACCCGCAGACTCACACAGAGATCCAGACTCACACAGAGACCCGTAGACTTACACAGAGACCCATAGACTCACACAGAGACCCGTAGACTTACACAGAGACCCATAGACGCACAGAGATACCCATACACTCACATAGAGACCCATAGACTCACACAGAGAACCCATAGATGCACACAGAGACCCATAGACTCACACCGAGACCCACAGACTCACACGGAGACCCACAGACTCACAAAGAGACCCACAGACTCACAAAGAGACCCATAGACTCTCATACCCATAGACTCATAGAAAATCATACACCCACTTAGAGACCTGCTCACACAGAGACGTCTACACTCACACAGAGACCCAAAGACTCACACTAAAGACCCATAGACTCACAGAGACCCATACACTCACACAGAGACCCATAGACTCACACTAAAGACCCATAGACTCACACAGAGAACCCATACACTCATACAGAGATCCATAGACTCACACAGAGACCCATAGACTCGCACAGAAATCCATAGACTCACACAAAGGCCCATAGACTCACACAGAGACCCATAGGCTCGCATAGAGACCCATAGACTCACTCAGAGATCGACACACTCACACAGAGACCCATACACTCATTTAGAGACCTGCTCACACAGAGAGACCCATAGACTCACACAGAGACCCACAGACTCACACAGAGAAACCCATAGACTCACACAGAGACCCACAGACTCACGCAAAAGACCCAGAGACTCACTTAGAGACCAACAGACTCACACAGAGACTCACAGACTCACACAGAGACCCAGAGACTCACACATAGACCCATAGACTCACACAGAGACCCATACTCTCGCACAAAGATACCCATAGACTCACACAGAGACCCATAGACTCACACAAAAGACCCACAGACTCACACAGAGAGACCCACAGACTCACACAGAGACCCACAGACTCACACAGAGAGACCCATAGACTCACACATAGACCCAGAGACTCACACAGAGACCCACAGACTCACACAGAGACCCATAGACTCACACAGAGACCCACAGACTCACACAGAGACCCATAGACTCACACAGAGACCCACAGACTCACACAGAGACCCGTAGACTCACACAGAGACCCACAGACTCACACAGAGACCCATAGACTCACAGAGATCCATAGACTCATACAGAGGCCCATACACTCACAGAGAGACCCATAGACTCACACAGAGACCCATAGACTCACACAGAGACCCATAGACTCACACAGAGACCCATAGACTCACACAGAGACCCATAGACTCACACAGAGACCCACAGACTCACACAGAGAGACTCATAGACTCACACAGAGACCCATAGACTCACACAGAGACCCATAGACTCACACAGAGACCCATAGACTCACACAGAGACCCATAGACTCACACAGAGACCCATAGACTCACACAGAGACCCATAGACTCACACAGAGACCCACAGACTCACACAGAGAGACCCATAGACTCACACTGTCACCAATGAATGTTGAACAAGAGATCTACAGAGCAAAGATATTCTCAGTCCCACCTTGGGGTCGTCGATTTTCCCGTGGACTTTTCCACAACCGACTCCGGGGGAGGATTTGGAGGCTTGAGGCCTCCTCCAACCATGATTCTGTAATTACAGAATCATGATCACAATCATCATCATCATCACCATCATCAACGCTGTCACCATCATCGTGACGGTCATCACCACCATCGTGTTGTTTTTAGTTTGTTGTTCTTCCCCGCACCTCCGATTAGCACGGTTGGCTACGTACGGTGGTGCGAAAGAAGTTGAACATCCATACATCATCATATCGATGATCGTATTGATACATCATCGTATGAATTATCAGTCATAACTATCATATTTCTCAATGCCATCGTCAAACTCTACGAGTATTATTTATTCCAACAGCTATCACAATAAAGCATTACCATCATCATCATTACCATCATTACCGGCAGCAACAGCGGCAACACAACCATCACCACCGTGATAGCCAACTAAAAGCATCACCCTCACCTTCATCATCGTCTGCATCACCGATGCCACCATCAACTACACAGTCTGACACGTACACGATGACACACAGGCAAAGGTCCCCCGCGTAAAGCCTTAACAGACTGTTGGGGCAAGTGCTGTTAGCGAGCAGCACCTATGAAGGCCAGAAGGGCACACGAGGGGGTGGGTGGCCAGCACCACGCCCGGCCGCCTTTGTCTCACTCAGTGACGATGTTTGCGCACCACACCAGGTACTCAATTTTAGGCTGAGTCGATCTAGGGGAGGCCCAGGACTGTTTCGGATAATCGTCACCGGCGTTTGCCGCGATCGGGAATCGAACTCGGGTCGCCGGGTTCGAGACGCAGCGTGCTAACCGCTACGCCACCGCTCCCTGTCAATGTGCGCATACACAAAGATCCCCCGTATAGCCTTAACAGACTGTAGGGGCAAGTGCTGTTAGCAAGGACCTATGAAGGCCGGAATGGTACACGAGGGGGTGGGTGGCCAGCACCACGCCCGACCGCCTTTGTCTCCCCAGTGGTGATATTTACACACCGCACCAGGTACTCATTTGAGGCTGAGTCGACCTAGGGGAGGCCCGGGACCGGTTCAGATAATCGTCACCGGTGTTGGCCGCGAGCGGGAATCGAACCCGGGTCGCCAGGTTCATAGCGCAGCGTAGCGCTAACCGCTACACCACCGCTCCACACACACACACACACACGAGCACACACACTGACACAAACATAGAGAATACACACACACTGTTCGCTTATTATATCCCTGCCGTATGCACAATACATTATGCAGGGAGTACCATCCTTAATACATGAACCATTAACTTGTTTATGTAAGTACTGTACACGCATTTATGCAAAAGCACGTGTAGTTATGTGTACACAGGCTAGTACGGAATGCTTGTTGTGTACCCACCACCACACACGCGTGTGCGTGTGTGGTGTTGGCCACGCACCCCCTCGTGCGCCCTGCCGGCCTTCATGGGTGCTCGCGAACAGCACTTGCCCCAACAGTCTTTTAAGGCTATACGGGGGACCTTTGTCTTCGTACGCAATAGCCATGATGATAACACACGCCTATGTTTGTGTGCATGTGCATGCAAATGCTTTAGCGAGTGATTGTGTATAGGTGTGTGTGTGTGTGTGTGCAAGTGCTTAGACATACACAACACCGTGTATATGTACGTGTGTTTGTTTAACTTCTTTCGCATCGTACGTAGCCAACCGCGCTAATCGGAGGTGTGCGGGGGGGAGGAGGAGAACAAACTATACAACAACAAGCGGTTCTAAAGAAACGAGTTTGTCAATCTGGATGATGATTTAAAAGCGGCATAGCTTTGCCAGTGCAACTCCTAATTTCGGGAGTGAGAGGGCCTAACAATGGTGGTGAGGCTAGGCGCTAAAGAAGGCCGCAGGCGCTGCTGTAGGCCAATGAGTTTCAAAGACAATGCCATATATCATCAGAGCGTGTTCGTTTGCATGCTTTGGCACAGGTACTGTGTGGTTAACGCAGACGTGATTCCCTGCAAAAGGTATCCATTTGGGTGTTTTTTTTTTTAACATCGTAAAACAACTCCTGTTTTTATTCGCCAGAAAAAAGTTAAAGCCTATTCGCATTTTTCATACTTTGATAACTGATTAAAAAAAAGGTATCCCATAGATACAGCTGCTAACGCCGAGCTTCAAGCGTTCTGATACGCGGCACTGTCTTTGTACCGTTTCGCCTTGTGGCGTCGGTCTCTCGTCTGACGCTGGTGGTGAGACTAGAACGTGAAGAAGAGGCTTGCATTATTACCAGAGCCATGTTTGTTTGCGTGTTTTGCCACAAGCGCGGTGTGGTTAATGCGGGACTTGCTTCCTTGCAAAAGGTATCTACTGGGTGCTTGAACATCCTTGACGCAACACCTGTTTTAATCACCAGAAAGGGTTAAAGAAGCCTACTCTTATAGGAACAGGTTTTACCCTTTTAACTGGCACAAAAACTGACACCTTTATTCAAGGCATCATGTCTGCAATAACCACAGCACAAGCAGTCAAAATGCAAACAAAAAAGACAACTCTGATAATAATATGCACTGTCCTTGAATTTGATTGGTCCACACCCGAGACGGCTTTTCTTAGAGCCTAGGGTAAAACCTATTCCTATATCTTGTTACTGGCAAAGGAGGTCTCATAATGTAAATGCTCACCCCGAGCCCTCAATACTCTGATAGTGCGCTGTTTTTGAGTTGTACGCCTTTTGGCGTCTTCTGGTCCAACACCAATGGAGACTAGGCTCTAAGAAAAGCCGTCTCGGGTGTGGACCAATCAAATTCAAGGACAGTGCATATTATTATCAGAGTTGTCTTTTTGTTTGCATTTTGACTGCTTGTGTTGTGGTTATTGCAAACATGATGCCTTGAATAAAGGTGTCAGTTTTTTGTGCCAGTTAAACGGGTAAAACCTATTCCTATATCTTGTTACTGGCAAAGGAGGTCTCATAAAGCCTACTCTTATTTTTCATCCGCTTGTTCATCTTCGGCGAGGTCACAGGCAACCACAACCACCAATCCTAACCTTCATAATATAGGTTTTTGTGTTAGATCGCGTTATTTATAAATTTGTCGTAACCCTCCACCACCCGACACGGCCAATCAGCAAAAAAGTGTCACGTTGACAAAAGACAAATAGTTCACTACTTTAGCCCACCGGTGTGTTGAAGGCCGGCACGGCACACGAAGGGGCGGGTGACCAGCACCACGCCCGGCCGCCTTTGTCTCCTCAGTGGCGATGTTTACTACACATCGCACCAGGTACTCATTTGAGGCTGAGTAAGGTAATCGTCACTGGTATTGGTGTCCGTGTGTGGGAATCGAGACTCAGGTGGCCTGGTTCGGAGTGCATCAGCGTGCTAACCGCTGTGCCACCGCCCCTCCACTTTCCTGTTCATCTCTCCACCCTGTCTTCTACTTTCTCCCTGCCTCTCCCTCTCCTCTCTCTCTGCGTCACTCGGCAACGTTTCCACCGGGCCGCCTTTGTCTCCCCGGTGGCGATGGCTACACACGGCACCAGGTACTCATTTGAGGCCGAGTCGACCTACAACAACAACAACCGCCATTCGCCACTAAGTGGCGGTGACGTCACCACGACGCTTGTGCCAGGCTATGTGCACCCTGAGGCCACGTGAAGTGTCGAACACCCGCTGGCAGGAGGTCACGGGGCAGACCCAGGTGCCACGGGTCGACTGACTTAGATGACTGGCTGATGCACCACCTGTGCCCCCTACTGTGCCAACCTGCTGTACTTTAGCCACCCGGCGCTCCGCTCGTTGTTCTGAGCGTCGCTCCTCCGCCCTCCGTTGTTGTTGGAGGGCGACTGCCTCCAAATGCCCAGTAGCGTCCTTCACGAGCCTCATCCACAGAGGCCAATCTTGACACCGCTGGTACCAGTCATCGGCAACTCCACTCAGCTCCACGTCCTCCTGTACCACATCACTCCATCTCTTCTCTAGCCCGTGCCGCGCCCGCTTAGCCCCCTCGATCCGGCCAAACAAAAGCTGTTTCGGCATGCGGTGGCTGGGCATGCGGGCTACATGACCCAGCCATCGCAGCCTTGCCTGCCGGAGGAGCTCACCGATGGGACCCTGCCCAGATCTTTCAAGGATTTGTGAGCTCCTCACACAATCCAGTCTGGTTAAACCCAGGATGGATCGTAGGCAGGCCAGCCTAAATGTTTCTAACCGGCGAAGATGTTCCATTAGGGGGGTCCACGTTTCGCAAGCGTAGAGAAGGGAGGGAATGACCGTGGCCGAGAAGACCTGAAGCTTAGTGCGGAGCGACAGACCAGGTAGCTTCCACACAGCGTTACGCAACCGATGAAAAGATATTGCCGCTCGACTGATTCGGAGTGAGACCTCTGCTGTTAAACTGGAGCCAGTCATAAGCACACTGCCCAGGTATGGGAAACTCTCCACTCTCTCCACAACTGCCCCATCACCGATTGGGAGTTGTGGGGGTGGAGTGTCCGATGGTACAAAATACCCAGGCAGGTGCTTAGTTTTGGTGGGGCTGATGGTAAGGCCCCACCTCTTAGTGGCACGCTCCAGTCTCAGCAGCAGCGTCTCCAACTCCTCCTCTGACTGAGCAGCTATTACCAAATCATCAGCATACATAACGTGGTTGAGCAATAGGGAGCCATCCCTTGACCGCACCCGGGCATCGATTAGCCTCCCATTATATCTGTACCATATGGAGATTCCCCCGGTACAGCTATTGAAGGCTTCACGAACTACGTGGTCAAAATAGATGTTAAATAATGTGGGAGCCAGAAGACATCCCTGTCGCACCCCAAGGTGTACAGGGAATGGCTCTGACTCCCGGCCACATAGTTTTACCCGGGCCCGCTCACCATCATGAAGGTCCTTAATGATCGTGAGCAGAGGGTCAGGTACTCCAAAAGCACGAAGAACGACCCAGAGCCCAGGCCTACTGATGGTATCATAGGCCTTGACCAGGTCAATAAAGCAGAGATGTAGGTCTTGTTGGAATTCCCTACACCTCTGCTGTAGCAGACGGACAGAAAATATGGCATCTGTGCAGGACCGCCCTTTCCTGAAACCGCATTGGGGCTCCGCAAGCCTCTCCTCAGCGTGCCTGGCAAGGCGATGCTGAATAATCCTTGCCAGGACCTTTCCCGGCACACTGAGGAGTGAGATGCCCCTGTAGTTGTTACAGTCTGTGCGGTCCCCCTTCTTAAAAAGGGGGACCACCAGGGCATCCTTCCAATCCTGCGGAACCCGTCCAGTGGTCCAGACTGTTGTTATGATGTCATATAGGGCAGTCTGTGCACAAACGCCACCCTCCCTCAGCATTTCGCTTGGGAGATCATCTCTGCCCGCTGCCTTTCCTGGTCTCAGACTCCGGATCGCCTTCAATACTTCCTCAGCAGATGGCACCTCAGCCAGCCACTCACAGGGGGTGACTTCTTCCAATATTTGAGGCACTGCAGCCTCAGCAGGGTCATCCTCACTTTGTGCCACGATGTTTTCCTGGCTGTGGGATTTTCCCTCCCCCAGGACCTCACAGAAATGCTCAGCAAATCTGCGAACCTGTTCCTGGGGGTCGGAGATTGGATCACCGTTTTTTCCCCTAATGATGGTAATAGGTGTGGCGCTGCAGGTTACTTTTTTGATGGAGTTAAATAGAGATTTGTGATCACGGGCTACTGAGGCAGACTCCATCTCCTCAGCAACCCGCGACCACCACCCATCCTTGCAGCGCCTCACGGCTCTCCGAACCTCCGAGCGAAGGCTGCGGTAAGCCTCCTCATTCTCTGACGTGGGATTCTGTAGCCGATGACAGTGGGCCTGTCGCTTTTTCTCAACCATCCTGAACACCTCCTCTGTCAGCCAGGGTCTCTGCGGAGGTCTGGACCGCGTACCCAAAGCAGCCATTGCAGCTGCATGAGTCACAGTCCTAAACCTCGCCCATTTACCCTCGACATCAGGAGGAGTCGGGGACGATGCCAATCCCAGCCGCAAGCGATGATGAAATTCTCGCTTGCAACTTTCATCAGATAACTGAGACCAGGCCACTTTATGTTGGAATGGGGTCCTGGGTGTACACCCACCACCGGAGTGGAAGAATGGCAGGCGCATCTTACAGATGACTAGTCGATGGTCAGAGGGCAGATCAGCTCCACGGTAGGTCCTGGTGTCAAGGACATGGGCTCGCATTCGCTGGTCCGTCACTATGTAGTCCAGCAGATGTTCTTGCTTGGACCCGGCATGCATCCATGATGTTGTGTGGATGCGCCGATGCCGGAACAGCGTGGTGGTAATTACAAGCCCATGGGCTGCACAAAAATCTAGCAGCCTCCTACCGTTGTTATTGAGCTGATCTGGCCCGTGCCCTCCAATCACTCCAGACCAGGTGCCAGTATCATGACCAACTCGGGCATTGAAGTCACCCAACATGATAACTCTATCCCGAGGGGCCACTTTAGCCAGCACCTGTGACAGGAGGTCATAGAAGGCGTCTGACTCATTGGCTTTGCCTGCATCCCTCCACGGATGTTCATCTTCGGTGGGGGCATAAGTAACCACGACCACCATTCCTCGCCTCCGGTTGATGGGAAGGCGAGCCCAAAGTAGCCTGGGGCTTACAGCTTCCCACACCTCACCGCCACGCTCCCACGCCCCCTTCATTCTTTCGTTTAAAAGAAGACCCACACCCTGTTGTTTGGCAGTCTGCTGCCCGACCTACACACACACACACATACACGCTCAACTACAAGCAGCACACCGTCAGTTAGCGCACGGGAGGATCGCGTGTGCCGGGTTAAGGCGTGGGCAGCTCCCACCTCTTCCAAGGGCGTCCGGTCAGCGTGGAGGAGTAGGCCAAACACTCTCCAGAGGGGCTCTGTGGAGATCCCTCCAGTGGAGGTCCTTCAGCCGGCAGTCACGTGATCGAGCAGTTGCAGGCCTGCGCCTTTATCTGTGGACACAGACGCACACACGCACACACACACTACACATTTAGACATTAATGCAGTAAACAAAGACGTACAGATTCAATTCATCGGCCACGGCCAAATCCATTGCTGGATGAAATATTGGCATACTGTAGATATGTACTGTACATGCCTCACCACACACGCACAGTTACAGCACTGTGGTGTATACGCTACACGCAATTATGTGTACATATACAGTGCAGAAATACTGTTGTGTGACTCATTATCCGCGACTCCCGTTAGCCGCGACTCCCATTATCCGCCACTCTCATTATCCTCGACTCCTGTTATCCGCGACTCCCATTATCCTCGACTCCCGTTATCCGCGACTCCCATTATCCGCGACTTCCATTATCCGCGACTCCCATTATCCGCGACTCCCATTATCCGCGACTCCCATTATCCGCGACTCCCATTATCCGCGACTCCCATTATCCACCACTCCCATTATCCGCGACTCCCATTATCTGCAACTCCCATTATCCACAACTGTTATTATCCTCAACTCCCGTTAGCCGCAACTCCCATTATCCGCCACTCTCATTATCCGTGACTCCCATTATCCGCGACTCCCATTTTCCGCGACTCCCATTATCCGCCACTCCCATTATCCGCGACTCCCATCATCCGCGACTCCCATTATCCGCGACTCCCATTATCCGCGACTCCCATCATCCGCGACTCCCATCATCCGCGACTCCCATTATCCGCGACTCCCATTATCCGCGACTCCCATCATCCGCGACTCCCATAATCCGCGACTCCCATCATCCGCGACTCCCATCATCCGCGACTCCCATCATCCGCGACTCCCATTATCCGCGACTCCCATGAATCCATATTGTCCGCGACTCCCGTTACCCGCGGCTCCCGTTACCCGCGGCTCCCGTTACCCGCGGCCCCCGTTATCCGCGGCCCCCGTTATCCGCGACGTGTCCCACGCGTCTGTGGGGAGACACCAATGTCCGCTGTATTTTCACGGAACAAGAGAAATTGCGTGGCAGACGTAATCCCCATGTGCACACATTACATACACATACGGGATAGTACGCCAGTATTTTAAATCGCAAGCTACCCCTACAAAACAGTAGCGTACACATACGTAGCAATACACACTAATTTAGAGTACTCTACACACCTACATACTGTGCAGAGACTGTGACCATACGATATACACTTACACATGCACTCGATTGAAAATCATCTCATACACACAACTACACGTGCAGTACTGAACACACTATAATCAGTCTTACACACACACACACACAGTGTACACACACAGTGTACACACACAGTGTACACACACACAGTGTACACACACAGTGTACACACACACACAGTGTACACACACTGTACATACACATACACACACAACGACAGTTCAATATCATACATTCACTCATACACATACTGTATTGTACACACACTATAATACATCTTACAAACACTAATGTACACACACACACTAATGTACACACACACACAGTGTACATACACACACAACTACAGTGCAATATCATACACTCACTCATACAGTATTGTGCACACACTATAATCAATCTTAAACACACGCACACTATAATACATCTTATATACACAGTGTACACATACACCAAGTACACACACACTAATGTACACACAACTACAGTGCAATATTATACACTCAACTCATACAGTATTGTACACACACTATAATACATCTTAGACACACAGTGTACACACAAACTAATGTACACAAACTAATGTACACACACACAACTACAGTGCACTATTATACACTCATACATACAGTATTCTATACACACTATAATACATCTTAGACACACAGTGTACATACACATACTAATGTACACACACACATTGTACACACACACTAATGTACACAAACTAATGTACACACACACACAACTACAGTGCACTATTATACACTCATACATACAGTATTCTACACACACTATAATACATCTTATACACAGTGTACATACACACACTAATGTACACACACACATATTGTACACACACACTAATGTACACACACAGTGTACACACACACACACACAACTACAGTGCATTATTATACACTCACTCATACAGTATTGTAAACACACACAAACTTTACAATCCATTTCATAACACCCACACACACACTATAATACATCTTATACACAGTGTACACACACACACACTAAGTGTACACACAGTGTACACACACACTGTGTGTACATACACAGTGTACACAGTCATCTAAACTGCACACAGAGTACACTCAAATATCTCACACATTACACATTGTACACACACAGTTACAATACAGTACACACACCTTACAGTACTACATACAGTACACACACCACACACAGTACACACTACAGTACTCCATACATACAGTACACACACCTTACAGTACTCCATACATACAGTACACACACCTTACAGTACTCCATACATACAGTACACACACCTTACAGTACTCCATACATACAGTACACGCACACTACAGTACTCCATACATACAGTACACACACCTTACAGTACTCCATACATACAGTACACACACCTTACAGTACTCCATACATACAGTACACACACCTTACAGTACTCCATACATACAGTACACACACACTACAGTACTCCATACATACAGTACACACACACTACAGTACTCCATACATACAGTACACACTACAGTACTCCATACATACAGTACACACACCTTACAGTACTCCATACACACAGTACACACTACAGTACTCCATACATACAGTACACACACCTTACAGTACTCCATACATACAGTACACACACACTGCAGTACTCCATACATACAGTACACACACCACACACAGCAACAATACATCTCATAGAGAGACAGATACACAACTAGAGTTTTGTGTAAGCCATCTCTCTCTCACACACACAGTACACACACACTACAGTACTCCATACATACAGTACACACACACTCTGTACAGTACTCCACACACACATTTCCAATACAGTACACACACCACAGTGCTACACACATACAGTACACACTACAGTACTCCATACGCACACACACATACACCACACACACACATCAACAATACATCTCACAGAGACACAACACACACATTAGGAGTTGTGTGTAAGCCATCTCATACACTACGCCACACTCTGTAACATTTACACGCATTACCAATACAGTACACACACACAAACATACAGTAATTCACACATACAGTACACACACACTACAGTATTACACACACTACAGTACACACACACTACAGTACTACACACACACCACACACACTACAGTACTACACACACTACAGTACACACACTACAGTACTACACACACTACAGTACTATACACACACCACACACACTACAGTGCACACACACTACAGTATTACACACACTACAGTACTACACACACTACAGTACACACACACACTACAGTACTACACACACTACAGTACTACACACACTACAGTACTACACACACACTACAGTACTACACACACTACAGCACTACACACACACTACAGTACTACACACTACAGTACTACACACAAACTACAGTACTACACACACACTACAGTACTACACACACTACAGTACTACACACACTACAGTACTACACACACACTACAGTATTACACACACTACAATACTACACACACACTACAGTACTACACACTACAGTACTACACACTACAGTACTACACACACTACAGTACTACACACACACTACAGTACTACACACTACAGTACTACACACACACTACAGTACTACACACACTACAGTACTACACACACACTACAGTACTACACACACTACAGTACCACACACACTACAGTACTACACACACACTACAGTATTACACACACTACAATACTACACACACTACAGTACTACACACACACTACAGTACTACACACATACAGTACTACACACATACAGTACTACACACACACTACAGTACTACTCACATACAGTACTACACACATACAGTACTACACACACTACAGTATTATACACACAGTACTACACACACACATACAGTACTACACACACTACAGTATTACACACATACAGTACTACACACACTACAGTACTACACACACACTACAGTACTACACACACTACAGTACACACACTACAGTACTACACATACAGTACTACACATACAGTACTACACACACACTACAGTACTACACACACTACAGTACTACACACATACAGTACTACACACACTACAGTACTACAGTACTACACACATACAGAACTACACATACAGTACTACACACTACAGTACTACACACACTACAGTACTACACACACACTACAGTACTACACACTACAGTACTACACACACACTACAGTACTACAAACACAGACGTACAAAGATAATAAATAACCCCCTACCACTCTTGCTGCTGCTGTTGCTGTATTAACATCATCGACATTGTTAGGAAGCACGCACGTCCGTCTTTATCTTCCTCCCCTCTCTCTCTCACAAGCAATGACGACGATGACTCTGTACTGATTTAAGGCCGAGTCGATCTAGGGGAAGAGCCGGCTGACGGTGACGATCCGTCAACACGCCACCAGCATCGCACACACGGCCACTCACAGTACACACACAGTGTACACACAGTACACTACACACAGTACACACACTACACAGTACACTACACAGTACACACACTACACTACACACAGTACACTACACTACATACAGTATACACAGTACACTACACACAGTACGCAGTACACTACACAGTACACACACAGTATACACACAGTACACTACACACAGTACACACACTACGCAGTACACTACACACAGTACACACACAGTGTACACACAGTACACTACACACACTATACACACTACACACAGTACACTACACACACACTACACTACATACAGTATACACAGTACACTACACACAGTACACTACACACAGTACACACAGTACACTACCCACAGTACACTACACACAGTACACACAGTACACTACACACAGTACACACACAGTACACACACTAGACACAGTACACTACACGGCCACTCAACTCATCACAACTCCCGTAGCCATTATGCAATCATGTAAGTCATCTCACTACACTACACACAGTACACACTACACACAGTACACTACAGTACACACAGTACACACACAGTATACACACAGTACACACTACACACACACAGTACACACATTACACTACAGTACACACACAGTATACACACAGTACACACCACATACACAGTACACACAGTACAGACACAGTATACACAGTACTCTACTCACACAGTACACTAAAGACACTACACTACACTCAAGCAGTACACTACACTCAGTACACTACACACAGTACACTACACACAGTACACTACACACAGTACACTACAGACAGTACACTACACTCAGTACAAAACACAGTACACACAGTACACACACACAGTACACTACACAGTACACTACAGACAGTACACACACACAGTACATTACACACAGTACACACACAGAGTACACTACAGACAGTACACTACACACAGTACACACACACAGTACACACACAGTACATTACACACACTACACTACACAGTACACTACACACAGTCATGTTAACTGAAACGTCTTTCGGAACGAATGCACGTTGGTTAAAGCGCGTAACAAAGTTACGTTTAATGTGTGTACACGTGTGTGTGTGTGTACACGTGTGTACATGTGCGTGTGTGTACATGTGCGTGTGTGTACATGTGCGTGTGTGTGCGTGCGTGTGTACACGTGTATGTGTGTGTACACGTGTGTGTGTGTATACACGTGTGTGTATGTGTGCACCTGTGAATGTGTGTGCATGTGTTTACACGTGTATGTGTGTGCATGCATGTATTTACACGTGTATGTGTGTTCATGTATGTATACGTGTGTGTGTGTACACGTGTATGTGCATTTGTGTACAGTATAAAGTATGTGTGTATGTGTACATCATGTATGTGTGTGTACATGTATATGTGTGTGTACATGTATCTGTGTGTGTACACGTGTATGTGCACGTGTGTAACGTATAAGTGTGTGTGATGTATACTCACAAGGCACAAGCCAGTGCTCAGGCCTAGGCAGGAGTAAAGCTTTCTTTGTATGTACAACTACATGTACGTAGCACACTACATGTGTGTACAACTACATGTGTGTACAACTACATGTGTGTACTACTACATGTGTGTACAACTACATGTGTGTACTACTACATGTGTGCACAACTACATGTGTGTACTACTACGTGTGTGTGTTGTCTGTGTGCCCGTGCTCTGTGTCTCTGTCTGTCCGTGTGTGCGATGTCTCTCGCTCTGCGTGTCTGTGAACTCACTCCGTCTGTGTGTGTGGGAGCCACTCTGTCTCTCTGTGTCTGTGTCTCTGTCTGTGTGTCTGTGTCTCTCTGTGACTCTGTCTGTCCGTGTGTGCGATGTCTCTCGCTCTGCGTGTCTGTGAACTCACTCCGTCTGTGTGTGTGGGAGCCAGAGTACTCTGTCTGTGTGTCTCTGTGTCTGTGTCTCTCTGTGTCTCTGTCTGTCCGTGTGTGCGATGTCTCTCGCTCCGCGTGTCTCTGTGTGTGTGTCTCCGTCTCTGTGTCTCTGTGTGTGTGGGAGCCACACTCTCTCTGTGTCTCTGTCTGTATCTCTGTCTGTTTGTGTGTCTCTCTCCAACTCTCTCCGTCTGTGTGTGTCTCTCTTATCATCTAAGTCTCTCTGTGTGTGTCTCTCCAACTCTGTGTGTGTCTCTTTATCATCTAACGCTCTCTCTCTGTCTCTCTCCAACTCTCTCTCTGTGTGTGTGTGGGAGAGCCACTCTCTCTCGTCTCTCTCATCTAACTCTGTTCTGTCTGTTCGTGTGTGCGACAATGTCTCTCTCTGTCTCTCTGTGTCTCTGTCTGTCTCTCTGTGTCTCTGTCTGTCCGTGTGTGTCTCTGTCTGTCCGTGTGTGCGATGTCTCTCGCTCTGCGTGTCTGTGAACTCACTCCGTCTGTGTGTGTGGGAGCCACTCTGTCTGTGTCTCTGTGTCTGTGTCTCCGTGTCTCTGTGTGGGAGCCACTCTCTCTGTGTCTCTGTCTGTCTCTGTCTGTGTCTGTCTGTCTCTGTCTGTCTGTCTGTGTGTGTCTGTGTCTCTGTACGGAGTCTTCACGTCTCTCTCGCACTCCCTCCCTCTCTCTCGTTATCTCTCTCCCCACCTCTCTCTCTCTCCACACACAACACAACAACTCACGCGATCCGCTCTCTCCCCCCCCGTTAACTCACTCAGCTGCACTCTCTCTCTCTCTCCTGCTGCACTCTCCTCGTGCTCTTTCCCCCCCTGCTGCTCTCTCCCCTGCTGCACTCTCTCCTACTGCACTCTCCCCCCCCTGCTGCACTCTCCCTCCCTGCTGCACTCTCCCCCCCTGCTGCACTCTCCCCCCTGCTGCACTCTCCCCCCCCTGCTGCACTCCCCCCCCCTGCTGCACTCCCCCCCCTGCTGCACTCTCCCCCCCCTGCTGCACTCTCCCCCTGCTGCACTCTCCCCCCCCCTGCTGCACTCTCCTCGTGTTCTCGCTTTCCCATCTCTTCTAATTAACTCTCTCGAACGTCTCCCTCCATCCCTCTCCCCGTGCGCGTCTCAATACAAACCAAAGCCTCTCACTCCCCTTCTCTCACTCCCCCCCTCTCTCTCCCCCACCTCTCACTCCCCCCCCTCTCACTCCCCCTCTCTCACTCCCCCTCTCTCACTCCCCCTCTCTCACTCCCCCGCTCTCACTCCCCCCCTCTCACTCCCCCCCTCTCACTCCCCCCCTCTCACTCCCCCCCTCTCACTCCCCCCCTCTCACTCCCCCCTCTCACTCCCCCCCTCTCACTCCCCACTCCTCTCTCACTCCCCTCTCTCACTCTCCCCTCACCTCTCACTCACTCACCTCTCACTCCCCTCTCACTCCCCACTCCTCTCCCCTCCCTCACTCTCCTCTCTCTCCTCTCTCTCTCTTCTCTCTCCTCTCACCCCTCTCTCACTCCCCTCTCACGCTCCCCTCTCCCCTCTGGGCACCGCTCTCTCTGCGCCGGTGGGTAGGAGATGTTAACTACCTCGCCTGGTATACAGGAGGTCGTGGGCTCGATCCCACGGTGGCTAGGAGATGTTAACTACCTCGCCTGGTACGCAGGAGGTCGTGGGCTCGACCCCGACCCTGACGCCTGCTGCTGCTGTATATTTGGAGTTTGCGGTGTCTCTCTCTCATCATCATCATCACGGTGGCTAGGAGATGTTAACTACCTCGCCTAGCCACCGTGATGATGATGATGATGGTGTCTCTCTCTCATCATCATCATCACGGTGGCTAGGAGATGTTAACTACCTCGCCTGGTACGCAGGAGGTCGTGGGCTCGATCCCGACCCTGACGCCTGCTGCTACTGCTGTATATTTGGAGTTTGCGGTGTCTCTCTCTCTCTCTCTCCACGTGGTCGCGTGGATTTTTCTCCTCCACATTTAGAATCAACATCACGACACGTTTAGAGTTTGTATTTGGCTGCCTGCTTTTCACTTCCAACGTGATGATAAGCCCACACTTCGTTGAGCCATCCTTTGCGATGGTCCAACTCGCTTCTGAAAAAAGGAGCTACGTCATAGAAGCTCAGTGGGGCCTTACCTGGGCAAATAAAAACATTAAGTTAATTTTTTTTCGGTCCCACCACCCCCCCGGTATCTGCTGTGCGTGTCCCGTTGTAGCTGTTTGTGTGTCCTCTCTCTCTCTCTCCTTAGCCGATTCCTCTCCCTGTGTGGAATCCCTTTAATGCTCTCTGTCACTCGCCTCTCATTCCTAAGAGTAGTTCAGCATCTTTAGTAAAGACTAGGAGGAGCGGGAAATCCTATGAGCTATGAAGCTCTTTTCCTTCTCGGAAGATGTCCCTCAATAGCCACGCGGGCTCAGCTCGACTCAAGTTTAGCCATCGTGTGCCGGTGTCGCGGTGCAAATTTGTCAAACTAATAGAAATAAAGAAAAAGTTATCCCCCCCCCCAAATTACTACTCAGGGATCACAAACAACATTACAAACAACATTACAAACCACATCGCCCGCCCCCTCTTTACTGATCGACTCCTTCCCCAGGTCACTCGTTACAAATGAGACTCCAATCACTAAACTATGAACTGATTACTCCGATCCACAACAGAGATATTTTTTCTGGGTTAGATCGCATAAATATAAATGTGTCGTGAATCCGGCCACCGCCCGACAGCCCAATCAGCGAGGAGTTGGTCACGTAAACAAAACGTGGCCAATTCGTTACTAGTTCGGCACTAACCGGTTGTGTGTTGGAGAGCGAACCCACTACAACATTTACAATTCGAGTAGCCGTGACGTTTTGCCAGTAATTACAACAACCAGCATCATCAGGCGAAAGCCAGATAGTTATGGAGAAATCCTCCTCCTGTTTCTGTCTTAAATAGAGGGATAAATGTGATGTCGTCATACTCTTTGGTTCTATTCGGTAAAGTCACGTAGGTAAAAAAAAATCACGACGTTTCGGCCACAACACAAGCGGCCTTCATCAGGTGAAGGGACCAGACTGTCTCGAGGACAGCGCTGGAGTGAACACAGCTAAGCTCAGAGCGCGACCTTTAAGCTGTGTCACACAGCTTAAGCTGTGAGAATTTTACACACAGCTTAAGCTGTGTCACACAGCTTAAAGGTCGCGGTCTGAGCTTAGCTGTGTTCACTCCAGCGCTGTCTTCGAGACAGTCTGGTCCCTTCACCTGATGAAGGCCGCTTGTGTTGTGGCCGAAACGTCGTGATTTTTTTGTTAACCTACGTGACTTTACCGAATAGAACCAAAGAGTATGGATCCTTGCAGTCACGAAAGCTTCAGATCTAGAAGTGATGTCGTCACTTGCGAGCCGATAAGGTGCGAAGGCGGGGGTTAATGTAGTCACATAAATTACAATGGATATCCATTATCGGTTGGCGGGTTTAACGACACAATAACTTTTATGCGATCTAACCCCAAAAACCTCGCATGGATAATATTGGTCGCGAAAGCCCTACTACGTATTAAACTATTACTACTATTTTATTCTTGGTTCTTTCGGTAAAGTCACGTAGAAGGGAAACAATAAAATAATAGAAATATTTTTTTAAAAAATTCTTGCTGTGGTTTTCACACCTGATGATGATTGCTTGTGTTGCAGTCAAAACGTCGTGAGAATTTTATTGTTTTATATTTTTATTATTTTATTGTTTCCCTTCTACGTGGTGACTTTACCGAAAGAACCAAGAATATGAATGCCTGCAGTCACGAAAACGTTTAATCAAAATGTATTACTACAATTTTTTAGTATTTTACCAGGTAAGGCCCCACTGAGCTGTGTGTTTGCGAACCCCAATGATAATCACGGATAATCCATAGTTTTACCATGATAGCCGCCGACCGACTCCACCGTCTTACTGGGCAACTTCAACTCTTGCGTGGGAAGCGATGGAGAGGCGTGATTGGGAGGAATGGCCCCCCTGATCTGAACTCAAACGATGAGATGTTATTGGAATTCTGCGCGGGTCACGGAATGTCATTGACAAACACCGTACTCTCTGGTTCTTTCGGTAAAGTCACGTAGGTAGAAATAAAACCAAATAAATCACGACGTTTCGAACGCAACACAAGCGCCCGTCTTCAAAACGCGATGGCCGCGATGCTCGTAAGCAGAGGTCTGCTGCGGGCAGCACGATGTCTGCTGCCTTGTAAAGAGAAGCTGTTACCAGCGAGTGTTTATTTACCGTATTTTCCCGCATATAACCCGCGGGCTATACCACTTTTTTACAAGCAAAACAAGACAGTGCGGGGTATATGGAGGTGCGGGCTATCCCAAAAATATTTTACACGTGTGACATGTCATAACTCGTTAAATTCTTCATTGGTAGGACTATCCACTATGCAACACTTACCTTTGACTAAAGCACTGCTGAATAAACCACTCAGACTACAATTGCACGTGTTATCACGTTTTAAATTAATTGTTTGTACAATTAAATGACAATGTTTGAAATGCGCGCACTGTTTACCAGCGACGGGAAATCTGCGGGGGGAGTTGGGGGCGAGGCAACGGCGTAACCGTAGTGCCGCTATTGTCTGCGCAGTGCGCAATCTACCAGTGCTAAAACTGTACTTACTTATCTACCAGTTACGTGTTACTTATTTATTGGATATTTACTTTTGTTACTTATTTACTGTTTTAAGTTCACTCGTTTCCG